TTGATAGATAAACCGCATCGTAGACGGCGCTAAAATTAATCGTACGGGCAAAATGAAAGGTTTACAATAAAAATATATTTCCAAATAGCTTATTTAATACACTTATAGTGTTACGTCAGTAGACGTGTACTTGAAAAATCTTATGAAAAAGAAATTAATGGTGATTCGTTAACGATATAGATAACCCAAGAGCGCTAAGGATACATGGATGATAAAGAGCCATAGGATATAAGAAAAAGTATTTTCTCGTACGAATGAAAATAACGCTGTAAGTAAATTAAATGACTATAAGCTATTTACTTGAATATTTAGTTTTGCAGAAAAAAGAGAAGGAAAGAGAAAGAATCCTTGGTGATAACTAAAGCGTGCCGTATGCAAAAAGAGCATATTAAGTGAAAAACGTTAAACGCGGAAGGGGGACACTTTCCGTTCTGTTTTACGTGATAATTATATTGAATCAGCCTCAAGGATTATTGTGAAAGGATTGAAATACCGTCTTCCTACTCTCATTTATCCGCCTGCTTTTCAGAAGCCTCTCACCCTGAGATGACATCGCACTTTTCTCTAACTTCGACTAACTGTAACTCTACCTGAAGGATTACGTACAGTTCGATTTTTGCTCGAATCAAAATGATCACTCTTGCAGAAACAAGGTATTTTTGTCCTGCCTTGCACAAAGGATAATTATGTCGAGCAGTTCTCAAGGATCATTGTGAAAGGAGATTGAAATTCTACCTGGCTATCTGTCTCTTTCCCGAGATTCCATCACCTTGGTGGCAGTGAATTTTATTACATTAACGGCACGCTGAATTAACAAAGACGGCGAATTTTGTTCCTTGAATTTCAGTATCGATTTTTCTCCGTATGAAAAAAAAAACGTTATACTTATCGAAGAACGATATCTTTTATTTATTAAAAAAAGAAGAAAAGAAAATTGTGAAAGGAGCTTTGTGAAAGGCTCGAAATTGCCCATCTACCTCTTTCATCACACTCTCACCCCGATGATAATCGAGTTTCTCTCAAAAGTAATTAACAAATCGGAGCAATTTAACTGCAGGTTTTCCTCCGAACTTTAAACGAGCCAGATTTCCACGTTACTCGCCACGAAGTGGTTTTACTCAAGAATCGAAATTTACGGAATGATCTAGCGTATAAAACTTTCCTTGACCAGCGAATAAATTACTCTTTGTAGATTTTACATATTTGCGCAATTAAAATCATGTAACAGCAAGATACTTTCCATCCCGGTTTCCCTAAGATAATTTTACCAGGATAGTCGACCAAGGATTACTGTGAAAGGCCTCTGAGACTCCACCTGCCTCTTTCGAAAGCCCCTCCGCGGGGAGCGGAGTTTCCTTTAACCGGTCATCCACAAAGTAGGGCGACCTGCCGCCGGTGACTCCAGCGAGCACCAAGAGATTTCAATGTCCGAAGGACAGCGCGCTCGGTAATGATAATCCGTGCTGCACTAACAATCACAGTTGTATATTGATGGGGTATCGTAGCTCTCAATTACCTGCAGAATATGGGATTGATGATCACGCCAACGCTTGCCGTAAGTAATACTTTTTGGGCGATCTAAAATACCGAAAAAACATTGCTCTAACAAAAGAACGGGATACAGGAGTCTGCGGCGCTTATCGTACCATTATCTTATCATTGTTCTTATCATTCGATAAGAAGCCGGTAAAAAAAAAACGCGATTCTCTCGATGAGACGTACCGAACAGTTACACATACGAAAACAAATGCACACACATACAGTCGTTCGGTCGCACTTTCATCGTCCCACTTTCTCCGTGTTGTTCGGGACGCATCGCCGGACTGACCATGCTCTTCGTGGTCTCACGAGGGAACCTTTCGCACTTCCACGGCACCTCCGCCGGCGATGTTAAAGGTAGAAAACGCGTGGACAAAATCCGAGAAAGTCCGGGCATCGCATCCGCGTCTTTTACGTTAAACACGTCACTGTGTCCGGAGGATAACGATTCGAAAGGAAACTCGTTGCCGGCCGATTTGGGAAAGTCCCAACCATAATGGGGAATCGATCCGCGTTCACTCGTCGCACAGAAATGCCCTTTTATCCTGCACTTGTAACTTTGTTTCTCTTTCAACAATTTTACAAAATATTTCATAACTATATGACGAATGTAATTTCAATAATAGATTTTTCATTTAATTAATGAATTAAGTAATAATTTAATTAAATTATTAATTTAATTAATTACTTACAATCACATTAAAATAAAATAAACAATTAAGTTGTTCCCAAGTTCATTAATCCTCTCATTTGTCGTGCGTCTATTATCAATCGACACATTAGCGCCGCGTGTTGTAATAAATGAGGGGAAAAAAAGGAGTCGCGTTGTCTCACGAAGTTATTTATCCCGTGACAAAGTGTGTAACCGTGGTTTACGGTACAACGCGACGTCATCTCGTTAATACTTATTCGCGGGAGCCCGGTGTGCGCGGAATTTTTATTTTTATCCGATTGTGATGCGATTGACATTGATACGAATGCGCGATGCCGATTACGGCGAGAGCGCGCCGCATTACAATGCGCTGCTGTCTTCGCTCCGAGTAGCGTCTGAAACGCGCGCGCGCGCGCGGCGCGTTATAGCGGTATTGAAGTCACTGCACCGTGAGAATACAGTTACTGCGCTATATTCTCATGAATAATCGCTACGATTACGACGAAGGGTGAGAAGAGAGCACGAAGTAAAACCGCTACCATTATGAAGATCGTCACGCTTACATCGCTCACTGCGAAAAACACTTCGCCGCGTCTTCCCGATAGCTCATTGACTTGAAGACGATTGTTAGATCGAAAACAGCCATTCGATTGCAATCTGTTCCCCGACGTTGAACCGCGGGGACGGGAGAGACGGGCGCCCGTAAACCATATATAATCTTAATGACGATGGATTCCACCGAATCTCATTCGATTTCTTGCCCCGAGAAGAAACTCTTAATGGCCTCTTCGATTCGGCTTATTTCACCTTTTTAGGTACGCGCCGTGGGTAAAAATTTACGATTTCTCGGACGCCCGAAGAGTAGAATGGTATAACGAGATGCCATTGAGATGCTAATAAGGTGCAATTCGTGCTCGCGAAAAGGAAGAGGGTGGGCACGCAACGGAACGAAAAAGCGCGTGTAATTAAATTCGACGCTCGCGAGAAGAGTTCGTTATCACGTGCTCGGCCGAAGCCGAGGCTAAATCTGAATTTTGCGAAACGTGCACGCTCTCGCACGATGCACTTTCTATTTCTAGATATATGTGCGCGCCTTTCGCACCATATCAGATCGGCCGGCCGGTATCATAACGCTCTTCGTGCGACCGCACGCCGTGACTTTCTATTCCAGGCGTAGTTCGCCGGGCCGACCATTCCTTAATAAGAGAGGTCGAGGATTGTTCGCGTGCGGTTACCGCGAAATCGCGGCACAATTATTCGTCGAAGATGCGCAGTCGGGTGTGGAACGTCGCGAGATCCAGTTACTCGCTCTTTTCTTGCATGGGAGCGCTTTGGAAATGGTACGAGCGATGTAAGAATCGCTAATTATGCGTGTGCGCGACGAGGACAGTATGAGAAATTACACGTCTCGGAAGAAATTCTTTAGCAAACGTCTGCAATAGTCTCAACTTCCCTTCATTCAACTTTAATCTTTCTGTTTTCTAACGTTGACGACTAGACACATTGTACAACGAAATTTCGGACTTCTAACTTAATTTTCACATCTCTAATCTGACGAATCTTACATCTGTAGGGACTCTTGTAAGTTGGTTACCCGAAGAGGACCAGTATTACTGGTCGAAACGTTGTGTTTTATTATAATAAAGAATTGCCAGTAAGGTCGTTTCCATACTTATTAAAATTCTTCATTCCTTAACTGGCGTCACGAAGCTGCTATTTAATTTTTTATCTTCCTTTTCAAGAAGATCGAAGTTTCTTTACAACTTCCGTTTGCTGCATTTCAGTAATTATATAATTAACCGGGGAGGGTGTGTTGTAATACGGAGATAACACGAAGGATTACAAAATTCCACAGGGATTTACGAGGAGGTTGCGTACGGAGGAACAGTCGAAAATACTCGGAAACGAAAACTCGCGGAGGGTCACAGTCTACTTGGCGATATGAACTCGAAATCCAGGAAGGAATGCATATCAAGGCCGATCTCTCGGTGCGCGCGCATTTCCACCCACTGTTCTCTCTCATTATCGTTCGGTAAACCCGGGGCTAATTAGAACTCGAGCGTAAAGCAGCGAGCTCGCCGTTCGCTGCTCGAAACGCGCACGCGGTCGCGAGGAATCGAAGCCGATTTGAACGGGATTTCAGTCGCGTTGTCAACCTTCCGTGACGAAGCCATTAATTGTCAGCGGGCTGAATTCTAATGCCGTAAATACGTCGATCGGGAATACCAATTGTCGTAATTACGAGTCAAACGAAAAACCTTGACAACTCCAAGTAGCAACGTAAAAAGTCTTTTAGATGTCGTTATTATTTCGATTATTTTTTAATATATGTATAGAAATACGTATAAAAATTATGTATAAAAACAAAACTAACGAGAAAGAGAAAAGAGATCAGGGAGATGGACAAGTGTCGTGATGTTAGCAATCTACACTGAGAGACCCATTTTGTTGAATAAAATAAAATTTAGTTGACTCAACTGAATTTCTTGCTTGGATATAGGCAAACAGATCTTTCAGTTGATACAACAGAAAAATTTAGTTGGAAAATTTGGTTACATCAACACACTTTGGCTGAGTGAACATGTGCAGAATTCTTTTATAATATTCAACTAAACGATTTAGTTCGCGCAACAAACACAATTATTTAAGACGTGATGAGATGGGCAAAATTTTCGATTTCAGAATTTTTTTATAGATGTAAAAATTTCTAATTTCCATAGCCTCGACCTCACGGTAAAATTTTAGAATATCAGAGCACTGAAAAGTTGAAAAGTTTTACAAAACCACTGACAAGTTATTTTACTTATAGCGAGCCAATTGAGCGATAATACACCACCTGTAATGTGGCTGGATCGAAACTGGAGACTTCCGGAGACCGAGCCGGTAGGAAACGTCATAACGAGAGTTCGCGCTGAGGATAACGAGCAGGACAAGTTGACTTACGGCCTGGAACCACACGATCATTACAACGGGAACAACAAGCCTCAGCCGCCGTTACCATTCTCCATCGACAACAGGACCGGCATAGTTTTTCTCAATGAAACTCTCAAAGGAAGAGTGAGTACTTGTGACAACTGTCAATTGCCAAAATTATTTCAGATAAAAATGTGTCCCACATCATTTAAAATTAATAATTCCGATAAAAACGTAAAACAAGACTGACATTCTTAATAACAACATAATTTACAGTACAGTTAACCATTGATAAATTAACTTGTACCAATTATTTACTAATTGTATAAAGACTCAAGTTTAACTGTTTCCTTAAATGTTGCACAGTAGCTATGTAATATAACAATTGCTGATTAAATATATATCCTACGTTTCGATATCGTAGGTAAAAAGTTGAGTCAGACAAAAGTCGGATTGTTGGAGAAATGTATTACAAATGTAAAAACGTAATATGTCCTCGACGTTGGACGAAGGCACAGCGTGTCTACATATACGGTATTCGCGAATGCTCGGATGTCAAGACGCCTGAATTACGTTTCTTGTTCATTCTTCTTTTCAGGCAGGCCAGAACCTGTTACTCTATGTGACCGTTTCCGACGGTCAGCTCACAGCGAAGACTGAAGTTTACGTGAATATTGAGAACGCATCGGCACCAAATCGGGGAAAGACAAGGTACGTGATCACATACGCACAAACACTCGCATATTGGCATTTTTAACGAGCCGATGTGATCCATTGAGTATATTAAAAAAGAAAAACGAACACGATGATGTAGGACCTAAATGCTGGCTTCCGCAGAAAGTGGAATATACACAAAAATGTTCGAAAGTTATTGGTTAATGTAGGAATATTCCAGAATTATCAATTAATTTGCATCAACAGAGTTTGGAAATGAAATCGCTACAATGTTCCGGATTTCTTTTTGCATGGATAGATAAGTAATGTTTTAACATAAAGTATGCAAAAATGAAATATTAATTGTGCTAACACTTTCGAGCACTAGAAAAAATTAATAATAGACTAGATAGTGCCCTTTTAAAGGTATGTATGGATTTCGGTCGAATGATAACTATACAATGTGGTTTGATAATATGCAAAATCTTAACTTTTTTGCGTCATAGTACATTTTTGTACTTCTACAATTATCATTCTCGAATAGTCTTGCATCGTATACTCAGAACGTTTATTAAATTTTGCTACTTGTATTTATTCATATGAGGTTTCTCAATTTGACCACAATTTTTTAGCATTTAAGGTTGAAAAATTATTTCTTAAAAAAATAAAATTTGCGACAGCTAAATTTATTCAAAGCGCAGTCGATTCTAATTTGATAAAAATTTAGTTTCTCTTTGCAAGAAAAAAATTCACCTAATCAATATTTCAATGAAAACTGTATTAAATTGAGCGAGGTTGCAAATTAGTATTTTGCCTATAAATGGCAAGGAATAACACGCGACCTTAAAGAGACTCAACGGTGATCCGTTCTATTATTCATGCTCCACTTCGTTAACGACAACAGGTTTGAATCAAAATTGCATAGTGTAAGAAGTTACAAAAATATTATGTTTCTTACGTTAAACATCAACTCGATTGACCATTCAATTAACGAAATATTTAATATCCGTGTGTGAGAAAAATTATACAGGCTGCTTTAGGAGACACAAATTAACATACTCAAACACAGTTTGTCACAGTTAAATGACAAAGATTCAAAGAAAAAGATTCTAAGGAAAGATTCAATCGTAAAAAAATTCTATCGAATTACCAGAAATAAATACAGAGTTCTACTACCAAAAATACACTCCGACTCCCTTCCCGAGCAGGGTCGTAGAGTCGCGATTGAGTTTGAATCAAATTCTAAATGGAAAGCGACGTGTGTTAATTTGTGTCACAAAAGAGTCGACTGTGCTCCTTAAAAGGAAAGCAGCTATAATTATTAAAAAATAAAAGAGTGCCGAAAACTTGAAAAATACGTAATCGCACTAAATTAAAGAGTGGCCCCATTTTATCTTTTTTGACAGGATACCATATCCAAATCAACATGGTTCCGGTGGGCGAATACGACCGCCCTTCCTCGGTCTACCAAATCTGCCGACCTTTCCTTCGCCTTTACCCCCTTTGCCGCCGAAACAGTATCACCCCGAAACCACAAAACTCGAGTTGGAGAGAATAAAGCCTAAAGAGAACGACAATAGCATTAGCGGTACTGCCAGTACCGGCAGTACTGTCACCGAAGAAAGCGTCCAGGTAAACGAAGTGGAGGGTCCTGCATTGAGCTCGAAGGTCGCACCCTCCACCGCACCACCCTCGCAGGACATGGCGATGACGCTGGTACCGGTGGCTGCTGGATGTGCTCTTATTGTGGGTCTTGGTATGGGCGTCTGGTCCCTGAGGAACAGATTTTGCGGCAGCCGCAAATCCAAGGACACGGTACCCGAAACAAAATTTATTTGAAAAAATATTCTGAAATAGAAATATTTTAATTCTTATACGCAAATTCACGTAACATGAGATATTTAAGACGGAACGTGATTTTTAGAAGGAACAGGCATCAGTCAGCGTTTCAAATCTGTCTGATGATCCTTCTCTCGTCCTGAAGAGGTGGCGAGGTCCAAAGGCTCACAGCAATCGTTATCAGCCGTGGGAAAAAGAATTCCAAGCAGGTATTCAGAGTAAACAGGAGGATAAATGGGAATTTCCCAGGCATAGATTAAAGGTATGATCATTATTCTATACTTGATCATTAATTAAACACAAAGCCGATAATTAATTCCTAAGTATTTCTACATTGTTAAAGCCATCAATACTAAGTAACGTTAACTAGCCAATTAAATGTAATTATTTCATAAATTGACAAATTTGTGAAATAAAAAAATTGCGATTATAATTCCAAGCAACTGTTTGACTAATTAAATAAGTAACTTCTTTGTAATTATTGCTAGGTTTTTAACATCCTCGGCGAAGGTTGTTTCGGTCAGGTGTGGAAATGCGAGGCTTTAGATATCGATGGCAAAGCCGGCCCTACGATTGTGGCGGTGAAGACTCTGAAAGAGAATGCCACCGAGCGAGAACGATTGGATCTCGCACAGGAGCTACGCGTCATGAAGAATCTAGATCCCCATCCCAATGTAGTGAGACTTTTGGGATGTTGCACCGAAAGGGAACCTATGTTCGTCATTCTAGAGTACGTGAGTGGCGGCAAGCTGCAGAGTTTCCTCAGGGCCTCTAGAGAGGAGAGGAATCATGGGGGAGCAGGATTAACCTCCAGGGATCTTACTGGATTTGTGTACCAGGTAAGTGATCGAGTTATAGATCCTTAAATCTACAGCCAACTTGAAGAAATTCGAACGAGTTATTAAGAAGAATAAACTCGAACACGTTATTTGTAGATCGCCAAAGGTATGGAATACTTGGCGTCAAAAGGTATCATCCACAGGGACTTAGCCGCCAGGAACATCCTAATCGACGAGAACCGCGCGTGTAAAGTGGCGGACTTTGGCTTTGCCAGAGACGTGGCGGCCAATCAGATTTACGAGAGAAAATCCGAAGGTAGATTGCCGATTAGATGGATGGCACCTGAAAGTTTATATGATAACATATTCTCCGTTAAATCGGACATTTGGAGCTTTGGCGTTCTGATCTGGGAGATCGTGACGTTAGGGTCGACACCATATCCTGGACTTGCTGCTGCAGAGGTGTGAATATACATATATGTACTGTATAATCAATTAGAAACGTGAAAGCCATTTAGGACCTGGTACAGGTGGAGATGGCCAATTAAATTACTAAGTGAATCCATATACCGTCTTTTTCCAATCTGTCCTGCGCGCCGTTAAATACCAGACATATAACGCAGGTTTTCCGATAAAGATTCCACCTAACAAAAAACCTGCGTTATATGCCCGGTATTGGTAGATGGATTCACCTAGTAATTTAATTGGCCACCTCCACCTGTGCCAGGTCCTAGATGGCTTTTACGTTTCTAATTGATTTATATCTTACAAGGACCTAGTTAAAATTTAGTTGTAATGTATAACCTTGTTAATTAAAAAACGGTAAAATTTATTTATCATTATTGCTAATCAATTTTGTCAGTTAGTTCTACATATTTTTAACATGGAAACATTTTTTTCTAGGTAATGAGGAAGATCAAAGAGGGCTACAGATTGGACAGGCCTGAGCATTGTAAAAGGGAGCTCTATAATATTATGTACTATTGTTGGGACAAGGATCCAGCATGCAGGCCGTCCTTTGCCGAGCTTGTTAATCTGACCGAAGGCCTGCTGCTCGACGAGACGGATTATATTGAGCTCGACAGGTTTCCGGATCACTCGTATTACAATGTGCTCAATCTCAGCGGAGAGAAACTATAAAACTCACGTGACGATCGTTAACTATTATGTCATCCGATTTTCACATAGATAAGTTGCCACACGTTTCTGCAATAACATTATCGTTTAATCGAATGTATCTTCGCCATATGATGAATTATATGGGAAAATCATATAGACTAAATTATCAGGTCGACGAGGTTTCCATCGCTTTAAACGAGGAGTATTATCAAATTATATCACTAATCGAAAAGTAATATTGTATTTTGTAATGGCGTGTTTAATGAGTTCGCTTGAATACGATTTGAGCTTTAATTTCTCTGCTCGTTACGGCACAAAACTGTTCGATCGTTTTGTTAAATACTCAGATGTACGTGTCAAATATTCGCGTATCTACGAGAAATACACGATTTGTAATAATTAAGAAAATATAATTAAATTTAAACGCGATGTTACACTTACAAGTCGAAGAAAAGTATTCCTAATACTTTAGTGGCTATTCATTCGTGTCTAGACACGAACCTGTATATATGTATTGAGTTGAATATTGTTGTAAGTTATTGTACAATTATGTAAGAATAAATAAATCTATATACATTATTCACTCGGCAATATATTATACATTATGTTACTACTACGGCCCAATTTTTCATTTTCTGGTTAACTGTTAACCATAAGTTAGTCGACTCTGCATCTTTTTCTATATTATTATCTTAAGAAAAGAATCCCTATATGTTTCAGATGCATCGTTTAAATTTTTTTAAAAAACTATCAGGCACGAATTCTTTTAAAAATGAGGTGCCGACAAAATGTTTCAGAATAAAAAAGTAATAAAAAATGGTTAGCAGGCAAAAGTATCGTTAAAATGTACGAAAACGGACGAAACTATGTGAAAATTGAACCGAGAGCCGTCAAAAAACCAACAGAAAATAAAGAGGCTAGTAATTTTCCAAAAATAAGATAATGATAATTTTAAGTAGTAAGATTGAAGGATGATTCAAAACAATTAACGTGGAGAACTAGTGTTAAAATGTATAAAATTAGACGGAATTGTGTGAGAACTGTCGGGATGCAGTGTGTTATCCGCCGGAAATACATGGCCACGCCCACGTAGTTCAACGTGTACTCAACATTTTAGACACATAAAGGCGCCAGTGAACGACAGCGGTTTCATTTAAAACCCATGCACCCTCAGATTTCTCTCTTCTCAAATATTTGTTTTTAAGACTTTTGTATCAATAGTTAATAATAATGAGAAGATTTTAATTGTTTCCGGTGACTTCCCGTTAACAGCCGCGAGCATTTACCAATGGTCGATCACATCCTTTAACAGTGTCTCGTTGTATATGCTTACATATGGTACAAATGTAAGAGAGTGAAACAGAGCGAAGTTGGCAAGTGTAACAATAGAGGGTACTGTAATCTCTTTTGTTTAACAGAGACAATTTTACTTATTCTTGTTTCAGCTGTGCCACGATGGATACATATGAAAGATAGATATGCAAGAAAGATAAAAAGAGAAAAAATATAATCTTTGCTGCGATCGTATTCGTGTAAAGGACCCATCGATAGTGTTGTACACCTAAATTGTGTACACCTAAACAGCATAGACGATCACTATGAACTCAAAAAGGATTTACTTTTAAAAACTCTTTATACTGACAAACGATAAATTTCTACGAACCTATTATGAATTGCGAATCACAAATATCGTAAATTGCGCATAGTTTAGTGCCAACTTGGCAGGCACTGGCTACTCATAAATTCTATACGCTTGACTATGTATATATCTATGAAAACCAGTTACAAATAAGAATTACGTATATACCTTAACATCATATGAATAATAATGACAAAATAATTATTACTGACAAAATATATAGTCGGTAAGATACAAGTGCCCGATAAGCCATGTCGATGTCGATGCCTTCTTATCCGAAAGTTACACTGATCGCCGCATCTTTCTTCGTGATTTTTCTTAAAAATCTCTGGAGCGCCTTCAGGAAGTCGCGTAACTTACGTCGTCCTAAGACGTGTCTAACACGGCGAAGGAAGTAAGGGGACACGCGTGGCGCGTGTGTGCGCGATGCACGTACGTTTCGCGCGCGTGCATGAATATAACGAGAGGGGAGCGAGGGTAAATAACAAGAGAGAAAGAGAGAGAAGGGGAGACGCGGGAGAAAAGGACGAAAGAAGAGTGCAGACTCCGCTTGGAGTCCGCGAGAGGAATATTCAGTGCAACGTATAAAAGCCCGTTATGCACGGCGACCAGTGTAGTTGCACACGTGCACGCGTGTGCATTAGTGTACGGCGCACGCTATAAATAGATGTAGCAGACCGCAGAGATTCTAAGTACCCCGCCTCCTTTCATACGTGACCGCAGTGCGCAAGAGCGGAAAACTCACTCATATCGCCTATGCACGGTGCTTTAAAAAAAAATCGGAAATGAAAATTATTATTTTCGAGATCTCGATACCTCTCTCCCGTCATCGTGATGATGACTGTCATGATAATGCACGAAGAAGTCATCTTTCAGCATCAATTTCAATAAAATTTTTGGCAATGAGGTTGTTAGTGTTACGATACTGAACGGTAAGTGCTACAGGAAGTAAGATCATATGCAGTTCACCTTCTCTCTCTTCTCTCTCTCTCTCTCTCTCTCTCTCTCTCTCTCTCTCTCTCTCTCTCTCTCTCCTTCCCCCTTCTTTTTTATTTTATTCTTTTCCACGCTATCTATTTTATTCCTATTGAAGTTGCATTTGTAGCGAGAAAGTTCCAAGTATTAGTAACTTTATAGAACCTTAATTCTTTCGTGACCCCTGGAACGTATAAGTTCCACTTACATTTTTTACCTTTCCGGTTCCTTGGGACATTAATGTCCATTTAAATAAAAGTAACGATAAACAAAACAGAATTCGGCCATAAAAGAGTTAAGTATTCTCAAACGTGTCGAAAAATCTTGTAGATTCTAAAGTATTTGATACCTTGGCAACAACGTCACGGGATTTCGCGGAGATCCGTTTTATTATGCGGAGTCCGAAGACTCCTTCGCAACATCAGAGATAACATTCCTTAAGGCTGGAACCGAGTTGTACTCGCGGTGCAACAATGTAAGTAACCGGCAAGACTCGCGCTCCGAAGCTGAACGTGATCTGCGAGCGGCAAGTAAGCACGGCGCTCTCGAAGCTGCAAGGCCGCGTGTATGATCTCTTCAAGGGCTTCAAGGTCAGCGGTACAATCGACGACGCTCGAGGGCGATGAGAGAACAGGCGGAGAGCAACCACGGTGGTAGGAGGAGAGAAAGAGAGAGAGAGAGAGAGAGAGAGAGAGAGAGAGAGAGAGAGAGAGAGAGAGAGAGAGGGGG